ATACTGTATATATATATATATATATATATATATATATATATTATTATTATTATTATTATTTTATACATCACCATTTTTTGGTGAACATAACCTTCTTTCAAAACAAAATCTTACTGATCCCAAACTTTGAACAGTAGTGTAAATACTAAAAAACTCAATGAAATAGTATGTTTGTGTGATACCTTGCGCATCATGGCCTCGGCTTTCTGTAGATTGAAATTTCTAGCTGTAAAACAAGAAAAACAAGTTGCAATAAAGATTAGTATAAAAATGGAGAGAAAACAATAACTAAGTGTAACTGTTTTTCATCCATTATAACTAATTTATTACAGGAAGCTTAAGTGTGATGCCTTCAGTTTCCAGCCCTAATCTTTAACCACAAATCCTGCACACAGACAAAATCCATTAATAAACTGGCCCACTCACAGTATAAAGCCGCGCACATGACTTACTCCACAAGACAAACTTTAACGTGTCTTAACTCGGTCAAGATAACCTGCACATAACTGGAAGCCATGTGCCACTAAAAGTTACTATTTGGTAACAGATTAACCGTTCAGTTGACAAGAAGGAAAGTTTGCAGACATGCAGACCCATGAGCAGACTGGGTAGGCCACAGTGTGCTGACCTTCAACATGTTTCCATGTAGACAAACTTACTTTGGAGGGAAAAGCCTATCCTCAAACAGGTATTACCACAAAATATATGAATTGCAAATTCAACCCAACCCAATTTCATTTCCACAGTCCTGTAAAGTGAGTGGATTAGTTTTATTGTCATCTAGTCACACTTGTTTGTACCTGACTGGCCTAGAGACACGACTGACCCAGAATTAGTCAGACATGGAGTCATACATAAGTATTTAATACACACAAAGAAGATTATGTGACACAACTGACAAAAGCGCTCAGTGTTTTGTGGAACGGATATGTCAATAGGTGGATAACGTGCCTTCTCTTCTTAAATACAACATTAATCAAACTAACTAGATTTATTTAGTTAGTTAGTAATTGAGTTAGTTATTTATCAGCAGCAGCAAAGACAAACTCAGTAGTAGAAATTATAATAATCATAATAACAATAAAACTCAATAAATAATTATTAATATATAACAATATTTACATAATATCAAAAAATTCTTCGTATAATTATAATTATTAATATAAAATATAATACAATTTATTCATATATACAATATATAATCATTTAACAAAATAATTCTTAACACAAATGTAAATGTAAAAATATAGCAGTTATATAAGAAGTCTTTTTTTATTTATAGTATGTTTATATTATAATTTATCTTTCTCTGTGCAGAAATCACCGCCTCTATGTTACAATGATTTGGGTGGTTGCCAGGGCGTGATGGAGTTGTTTTTTTAGAAGGTTGCTAATGTGGTTTCCAAGGTGTTCTGGATGGTTGCAAGGTGTTTGTTACTCAGTGAGATTTTTTTCACCCATTTTATTGTCCACAATTAAGGCAATAAGTCTAATCGCTTGGAAAAAGTAACAGATATTGCTCATGTTCGTTACACAAATAGTGCAGGATGAGCTGTGCATCTTGAGGTTAAGACTTTGTTCAAATTCCTATTAGTCTAAGCAAAAATAGAAGTGAAATTTGACTTATTTAGCATCAATCAAACCTCTACAGCCGTTACAAAGTTACATACACTGCCATTCAAAAGCAAGTTAATTCATTCATTTAAAGCAGTAGTCAACTTCAGGTGGTGATTTTTTCCTGTTTTTCAAATAATACAGTAAAAACAGGAATATTGAGTTATTATTATAATTTAAAATAACTGTTTTCTATTGGAATATATTTTAAAATGTAATTTATTCCTATGATGCAAAGCTGAATTTTCAGCAGCCATTACTCCAGTCTTAATATTTTTGTGGAAACTGTGATACATTTCTTTTTTCAGCACTCTTTGATGAATAGAAGGTTTAAAAGGACAGTATTTACCTAATTTCTTACAAAACAATCTTACTGATCCTAGACTTTTGAACAGTAGTGTATGCATTTCTGTAAACGCATGAACTACAGTACCTGTGCACTCAAAGTTATACTGCAGTGAACTCATATCACATCACTGCAGACCTCAATGACGTGTTTCACAACTGAGCGTTTATCTTATCAACATTTGCAAGACGCTACAGTCTTTATTAACGAAATATGCCGTGACAACGGTCTCTAACGCAGCACAAAAGATTATGATACAGATATGCAGAAGTAAATATATGAATAACCCAGATGACTTAGAGGAAAAACATGCACAGTCATGATTCATCACATTCAGAAGTTTCCATCAGGCATGCTACATGGTGTCACTGTTTATTTTAATATACTAATTAATCAAATACATCAGTAATCCTGCATAAAATCTGTGCTGCTATCTGTCTGGTGCCAAGTCCCTGCAGAAGACTGGCTGCATTCAGCCCCGTTCAGAAACACAAAACAGCCTTTGTCAAAACCCAAGAACAGCCTCTGTAAGGCTGCCAGCGAGGCGTCCAAACGCCACTCTGAAGGGTCAGCTAAAAGTTTAGAGAACATTTACACTTATGCATTTAGCAGACGCTTTATCTGAAACAGCTTACAACAGAAGATAAGCTTAGAGGAACTTAAAAACTTTAAATACTAAATGCTCCAGTTAAATCTAGACCCCTAACCTTTTCTTTTTCAGTGTGTGCTTTCTATTCATAAATAAAATAGCCATAAAGATTTCAAATAAGTGAACGAACAAACAAATTTAGAACATTTCTAACCAGAACAATGCGTGAAGGCCCTAATCTATCATAGATTGTGTGAGGTCCAGGACTTTCTGAGCCCGTCCTCCCCGTTCCTGACTGCAGACACACACGCTGCATTGATCCGATTACACTGATTCATACTGTCTGAACACGAGTCTGTACAGGACATGTCGTCTCTTTCTAGAATCTCATCTGAATTGTGTTAGAAAACCTAGGATTCTATTCTATAGACTGTATCATTGCAAAAGATTCTATTCTATGAGATAAAATGTTATATACGCCGAATCGTTCCGTAAGATTTGACTCTATAGATGATTTAATTCTATAAGGTTCTATTTTATAGGCTATAAGATTACACTTTATTAAAATATGGTCATTCTATTTAACAAATAGTATTTTGTGTTTCTATTCTATATGTACGATCATTCTATAACATTCTATCTTTTATCATTCTATGCAATACTATTCTTTAGGTGGTATCAGTTTAGAAAATGTTATTTAATAGTTTCATTCTACAAGATTATATTCTATAGGGCATGCACATTCTTTTACATTAATTAAGCTTATTATGTCTGTTATAATTGATTTATATGAAACGGACTTAAACTGTTCTCAAAGTAAGGGAAATTAATTGATGTATATATTAGTCCTGGACAGAGGGAACTTATCTCTCTCTTTCTCTCTATTACACGCAACAAGCAGGAAATTAATATTTAACCTTCTAATTGTCCATTGTGCATCATGAATGTGAGTGAAGTAGCTCACCTCTCAGCCATCGGAGCAGAAAGTGGTCACTCTGGGATGGACACTGGGGTAGAATATCCTTAACATTTTCTCGAAACTTAAGAAAACAGATGAATAATTATGCAATGACACAGTAAGAAGTTGCACATACATACATGCAGTGTTGGGGAAAGTTACTTGTAAAAGTAATGCATTACAATATTGCGTTACTCCATAAAAAAGTAACTAATTACGGTACTTAGTTACTTTTTATAGAAAGTAATGCGTTACGTTACTTTTGCGTTACTTTTTAAATCTGGACAGGGCTTGCTTGTTTGTTTTTAAAATAAAAAAAGTTCTATTTTTGGCAAATATAAAAGACTTTTCACACCAAAAGTGAAATGAATAAGCCTCAGGCTGAAGGGAAAGTACATTTACGTCCGTACAGTAGAATGCAGAAGAAGAAATTTCAACACACTTCAGCAATAAAAAAAGACACACAAATGTCTGTCTAGACTAATTTGTGCTTATTAGTATGGTTGAACTGGATCATCGAAGGTCAGAAGCAAAGACATTGGTTAATAGAATGGCATTAAATACATAAAGGATATTTGTGTTGTTTAACATTTAATTATTGCAGGTTTGCGTCATATTCTGAGTTGCATTATTTTTATTCATTTTGAGGAATACTGAATCTGTGTTTTTTTTTTGTGAGTGAGATGAATTAATGCATATTCATATTTATTTTAGAACTACAGTAACATCTGATTTCTCTCAACATGGGGACAGGAGAGCTGTCAATCAATAAATTAGAAAAAAAAGTAACTTGCGTTACTTATTTGAAAAAGTAACTCGGATATTCTCTTGTAAATTAAAAAGTAATGCGTTACTTAACTAGTTACTTGAAAAAAGTAATCTGATTACGTAACTCGCGTTACTTGTAATGCGTTACCACCAACACTGCATACATGCACATTGGTGCAAACTATCCGTTAGCAACATCTATTCACGTGCTGGCAACACTGCAAACTTGAGTACTTACGTAATTTACACAACTCAGCAAAAGAGCGATTAACTAACACTTCTGTAACTCTTATAAATGTCTATCGATTCTGCATTCTAAACGACCGTGATTCGGCTGTTTTTGGCCTCTCTGATCGGGAGAATATTACATTCCAAAATCCCATCACATACTCTTGAGAATAATAAAAAGAAAATAATTCACCTGGGCCAAAGCTTCGGCTTGTTTCACGCTCAGATCTCCGACTCTTCCGCTCATGTCGCCACGAGTACAGTACACCAGAAATAGCGGTCTAAAAATCAGCTGGAGTCAGAGACTGAGAGAGACTGCGAGCGCTCAATGATGTTTCACGCCCCTCCCACCAGTTGCGCTGCGTCTCTACCGCAGGGGGCGCTGCGGGACCAATCATTCAAATCATAATCACATAATACTGTACATCACATCATTAAAATATTATTATTATTATTACTAGTAGTAGTAGTATGTTAAAGTATGTTAATGATGTGATTATTATTGATAGTTTGTTACAAATATTTAAGTGGAAGAAACAAGACAATGCTTTTACATATAAAATAATAACAATATTAATATGAATAATAATTATTATTGTTGCTATTATTATTATTATTATTATTAGTTACTATATATTTATAGTGATAGTTTGTTACATGTATAGTAACAGAAGAAACAAAACATTTTACATACATAAAACAATAACAATAATATTATTAGCATTGCTATTATTATTACTAATAATATAATTATTATAGTAATTATTACTAGTTACTATATAGTGATAGTTTGTTACATATATCGTAGTGTATGAAACTAAATATTGTTTTTACTTATAAAACAATAATAATATTATAAATAATAATAATATTGGTGTTGTTGCTATTATTATTATTATTATCATTAGTTACTATTATTATTATTATATGTGATAGTTTGTTACATATACTGTATAGGAGTATAAGAAACAAAACATTTTTACATATGAAATATATGCATTTTTATTTTGTGTTCAATATTTAATAAAAACAAAGTACAAAAGTTCTTTGCACATAATAAATGTGACCTACAAAAGTTCTCAAAACATAATAATTCATAACATTTTTTTACAAACCATAAAAGGAAAATAAATCATATCTTTACATCTATTTACACTTGAATATCAAATTCTATTTGATAGATCATTTTCTTTTTCTATCTCTTGCTTTCTTTCATAATGAAGCACTACACCATGCCTGTCTGATTTGTCTCCATGGTGTTCCTAAAACAGACGCAACGATGAAGAAGAACACTAGAATGAGACCTTTAGCCAGAGCCTGGGAATACGACTCACCTGCAAAAAAAAAAAGTCACATTCATAATTCATACTTTAAGACTGAATCAATGTGTTAGGTTAACATGTATACATTTTTGTAAAAGGGAAACTGTATGTTTAGGTGCTGTGACATTCCCCATTTTTAAAACCACCTACCTGCAGCTCACCTAAAGAGTTCTGCAGTGTGAATAATTACATTTTAAAAGCACCAATATTTTATGTTGTCACCAAATATGAGGTCATAACAATTGCACGCACAAGAATTACAAAAATGTTGTTTAAAATAGTTGTAGATGAGGTCTAGCATGTCACACTGCAGGAGACTGCTGTTGGTGCTTCATGTTTCAAAACAACCATCCAAAAATACCAAACCATGAGCGATAAACTAATTTAAGAACATATGCTACAACTTCAACATAGTTTCCAACACATAGGAAAATACAAAAATGATAAAGCACATTAAGTGTTGCTGACTCTTTCAACAGAACAGAGTTTTCAAGGTTATTTCATTCTATTAGTAAGCATAAGAAACCCAAGCCCTCACCAGTATAGTATCTTGTGAGAGGGAAGGCCAGCTCGGGCCAGCACACATCGTTCCTGTCACAGTCAAACTCGGTGAAGTTAATACTGAACCTGCAGCAGATAAGATCCTTGAATTAACCTTCAGAGTTCATGAGACTTCATGACTTGCGTGGATTTGTGAAATAATGCCGTATTTGCAAGCCACAGATTGAAACCAATAGAAATAACCATTTCTGAAATGTGTATGACAATATTGAAAATATTTGCAATATAATATTTTTTAAATAAATATATTTTTATTGTATTTTTATCAGGGAAAAAAACATTCAGCTGTAAAAATAAATACATTTCGAAATTAAATGCAACAGCATCTATACAGTAATCTCAATTATATGTGTGCGCTTAGGACCCACCTGGATCTAGGGGGTTGTGTAATAAGAGGATTGTCAGTAAAGGTCACAGACGAGCTCACATGGAAATTTTGCATTAGCTCTGGGTTTAAACATGGGTTCACCCTGCCCATACCACACTCTATCCTCCATGTTATTTATATGAAACTGAAAATTGGAAAATGTCCTCAAAGTATCAAAACTGTATATGCATCTAGACATATCAGGCTCAGACATTAATGAAAAGCTATCATGTTTGCTATCAGGAAAGTGAGACGCTAAGAACAATACAATGCTGAATGAAGCGGTCCTGTACCTAATCTCCACTGCCTGGATAACCGTCTGAGGCACACCCTGCACACTTCCCATGATGCCGCTCCACACGTGGATGTGGAAGTGAGTGGGAACAGCTGAACACTCTCCATTGCTGCCCTCTGCTGGCTGACTGGAGTTCTGCGCTGAAGGTGATATACAGTAAGAGAGCAAGAATAGTTTTCATTCAATCTTTTAAAGGTGACATATCATGAAAATCTGACTTTTCCAGGTTTTAAGTGCTATAATCAGGTCCCTGGTGCATCTACCAACCAAGGAAACGTGAAAAAGATTAACCCAGTCACTTTGTTTCAGTAAGCCTTTTTCTGCAAGCCTCTGAGAAAACGAGCACGTCAGATTTCGCTCCCTTGGTGACGTGGCAAAGGGATCTCATTATA